GGAAAACCACCTTTTGGTTGTTTTCCTTCTAGAAGTCAATGGATGACAAGACATCATTTTTATTTATTGGGCCCACCACGTGTGAGTGGCGTCACATCTGTGGACTCACCATAGTGTGCCTAGCCTCTCAGTCTTTCCAAAGTCCTTCCCCCTGGAGGCCTATGATGTCCAGACCCCATTGGACCCTTCGTGCCCTTTGCAGAACAGGTGTGTTGATAAAGGGAGGCGAGTGTGGCCCGTGGAAGTGAGTCAGGACAGCATTGACTGCATGAAGGAATGGGGGCAAGCCTCTGAAGGGCCAGAGTAGAGAGATGCCCACGACTTCAGAGATCGGTGCCAGCACAGGAGGTTGTAAGGTGGGAGAGGGGTACTGTGTGACTCATGCTGACTCCCCTAACCTAGGGACGTGTCCCCATCCCACAAAGCCGAGGGGCCCCAGTGGGCCCCAAGATCAGCATCTACTTTGTCCTTGCCTATGCTGATCTCCCAGCTCTCAGCACACATTTGTGGAATGAATGAATGAATGAATGAATGAATGAATGAATGAATGAATGAATAGGGTGAGGGTGAGCCAGGGACCAACAAGTCCCCTAGGTGGAGAGTGAGTGCAGGCAGAAACTGAGACAGGTGGGAGGTCAGAGGTGGGAGGTCAGAAGTATGCAGCCGCAGCCGTGAGCAGCTGTGAGACCAGCCTCGGCTGGCTGGAATGCCTTTTGCCTGAGGACCCTCCTGGCTAGAGTGTGCAGGGATGGGTAGAGTGGTGGGTAGGCAAGAAACCTGGGATCTCATTTATCCCTGCGACACTGTGGCCAGGCCATCTCTGCTTAGCTGTCCTCCCTGTCTCACCCCCACACTGTGCCCCTAGGGGGTATACATCGACAGATATCCCCGAACTGGCTCAGCTCCTCCGTCTGTACAATTTGTGGCTGAAAATATCAGGATGAGCCCTCCCGAAGCTGGTAGCCTGGTAGCCACCCCAGACTCATAAAACAAAGACCATGACCGCCCCTCCCCCATGCCTATGGCACACTTGTGGGCCCTCAGAGTCACCTCAGCTCAAACTCAGCAAACAGGACATCGAAGTGCCTCAGCGCCTCCCTCATCTTCTCCGTGTAGGTGTTGAGGTCCCGTAGTGCCTGGTCGCGGAGGGCGCCCCGCACGTCCTCCAGGCTGCGGGTCAGCTCCTTGGCCAGTGGACGCATGGCCATGCTCTCAAGCTCACGGTTCATGATGATGGAGCCGGCGGCCAGGCACTGCGGGCAGCAGAGTGTACTCCATTCAGTGAGAGGTCGCAAGAGGGCCCCATCCCCGGGGCCAGACTCTGCTCTGCTATCCCAAGATTTTAGTGCATCGTCCTCACTCTAGGGCAAGGTGTGGTCCCAAGCGATGGTGGCAGCAATGGCAAGTGTCTCTTACAGAGACGGCACTATGTAGGCAGGCAGGGCGGAAGGGCAGACCTGAGACCCTGGGTCTAGGGGCTCCATGCAGGGACGTCCTTGGCCATGTGTCTCCTGTCCCTTCCCCCACCCAGTCCACAGGGATGACTGCAGGGCTCGACTCCCAGGCAGGACGCAGCACAGGAAGTCATCGAACTTGTAGCTCAGAGAAATCCAGTTTTCCTCAGAACTGAGACTCAGCAGCACGTAAGGAGGAGCCCTCTGCACCCACAAATCCAACCACATCTCATCTGGACTCCAGAAGGTAGTTCAATAGTATACACTCAGTAATGCGGAATTTTGCCAAACGGCTCTCAGGTCAGGCCAGGGGTTGTATCCTGTCCCCTGTGCGGGCCTGCTCTGATGTGGATGCTCACCCATAAGGTTTCTCCAGATTTGGGATAGATAATTGGCAAGCTGTCTCCATCAGAGATAATCAAGAGAAAAGCAGGACAAAAACCAATTC